TCTGGGCAACAGAGTGAGACTCCAACTCAAAAAAAAAAAAAAAAAGATATAGGTTTGTTTTGCTTCAAATCATTTCATTTTTTAAAAAATTAGAAAAAATTAAAAACATAAACACACTGCTGTGTTACTCTCAGTGAAAACATGGGATTTAATCCTTCATGATGTGTACTACTTATAGAGAACTTAAGGAATGTGGATTAACAGTGACTTTATAAACATATATAATATTGTTTTCAGGTAGGACTTTTTAGGCTAATGTTTTCTAGAGCGCATCAAACTGCAAAACCTTAAGGATAAGGGGGGCCTAAATATATCTTTAACTGGAACTGTGAGCTCATATAAAATGTTTCCTAAAACAAGTCTCTGGCTTGGACCCTTTGAAAGTGCTTTTCTGAAGGATATCCTAACAACCTCACAAGCATTCAAATAAAAATGTAATTTTGCAGGAGAAAGAAACATTTAATGACCATAGCCAGAAAATAAAACCAAGAACAAAACCTAGTTTTGTGTAACTTCATAATGTAGGATGTGTTTGAACTTTTAATTCTATGAGAGCAAAATTCACCTTGATGCCACACATAGCACTAAGCTAGTCTTTCCATGAACGGTATGACTGGAAACAATGAAAACTCACTGCTGAGGGCAGTAAGATTACCTATGTACAGCCAACTCCATGCTGACCTCAATAGCCTAATTCTGCATTACCATCTTTCATTGCAAATTTTTGCCTAATCTAATCCCTAACTATGTGTTTCAAAGGGAAAGATGAGGGGCTGATATTTTATTAGCATAGGCAGCACTGAAGATTTCACGTCAACTTTTCAAAGGAAGTTAGCAGGACATAAACAATGGGCCACTTTCATGTACCATTTAAAGTCACATCAAATGTTAAGGCAAACTGGGCACATGATCCATCTGAACTCAGTTCATCTCTTTAATTTCCCCTGTAAAGTTTCCCTAGGAGGACACAAGTTATTTTAGATAACAGAAAAAGTAGACTTTTAGAAGAGAAAAACCACAAATTAAAATTCAAAGAACGGAAAGTTGGGGGCAATGATTCCCAACTCAGAAGGGCATCTTACCCAGATTGTGCCGTTTTGACTTCGCATGTTCATGAATATGCTTCTTTGTGAAACAGCCAAAGAAGACACAGTAGAGGCAAGAATGAAGCCTGTTCAGGTGGACACCACAGACATGGCAGACGCAGGACTTTGCCTGAAATTCAGAGAAGTGAATTAATAAGCATTACAACAGGAGTTCTCAAAGGGAAACACTCAAGCAAAGGGATCCACAATCAGTATAGCTCCTGGAGGAAAGGATAGAGAATTTAATCTCAAACTCTTACTGCTCTAAAAGATCACTTTGTTAATAATACTTTCAATTGCCCCCAAAGAGACTTCAGTTAGCTCAAAACCAGCTCCAAATAGGAAAACTCAGCCCATAACCTCAACTACCAAAACCTGGTAAGCTATGGAGATGTTTCCCACATTCTCCTCCGGAGTCCCAACAGGGAACCCCAAGTCTAGCTCCCATTCCCACTTGCAGATTGACAACTCACACCTAATGTACCCTTAACTTGGATAATCCAGGTTCCAAGACCACAGCAGACTTAAAAACAAAAAGAAAAGGGGAGAGTGATATTAATGATGCAATACGCAGGAACAAGAAAAAGAAACAGTGTATTACCAAGAAATAGATTACAGAAACCTAAACTCTCAATCTCAGCAATTATGAGTGCAGCGGCAAACAATTCTTATACCCCTAAACCACTGGGAAAACAATGATGGGGATGTGTGAGCAAGAGCAGGGGCCAGCTCAAGAAATCCCCCTGGGCAATTTGAGCATAGAAACAATAACAAGAATTATTTATATTAAATAAAAAATTCTAAGCCTATACTGAAATTAATACCATACAAGCACACATTTTCTTAAAGTGTTATTCACAGAAGAATCCAACATATGTCGTAGAAAAACAAAGACACAAGATCTTCATTTTATAATCATCATAGTATAACTAATTCAGGCAAGAATCATCAATGGACATTAAAGTCATTGGGTAAAAAGATATTGGGTCATTCGCAATAGCTAAAACAGAATAGCTAAAACAGAAGAAGTCCAAATATTCATCAACAGAAGAATGGATAAATTATGATATATACATAATGGAATATCAATTATTCTATCATACAAAGAAATAAGGTACTGACATATGCTAAAACATAGATTAACCCTTTGCACTTGGAGACATCTTGCGATCACCTACAGCAACCTGACCACACTTTTATATGAAATAGTGAAGAACAAATCACTTAATATTAGATAGTATAGATAGTGTTGGAACCAAATATTTTATTGTAATGATATTTGGCTTACAATGGAATTTTGGATACCGAGGAACTTACTTATGACAAAAAAATCAAAATTTTATAATCTGATATTTTTCTAATGTATGGTAACGTGTGAATCAGTCACCGACATGCACTGCAAGTTCATTGACACATGTTGTGCAATAGTAATTTGTTTGACGTATTCTACCTGGTGTTTTTCTATTTGAGCTGAGAATGCAGTCTTGTTTTCTTCCTCCCACCTTAATAATACATAATTTAATGTCCAGTCTGTGCATCACTGTGAAAGTACATCACATATCCTCTATGTAACACCAGCTGATTTTTAAAAAATGTATATCTCAGTATATATTCCATCTCTTTATTTGCTTTTTCATGCAATTTGAACAGAAAACTTTAAGGAAACACATTTTTGAAAAATCTGCACTGGCATAAGTTTGTCCTATATAATCACCAGCAGTCTCTTTAAGTTCCCTGAAAAGAGACATCTGAGTGTCAAGGGTTAATCTTGAAACCATCATGCTAAGTGAAAAAAACCCAGACACAAAAGGCCACATATTGTCTATTTCTATTAAATACTCTGAATAGGTAAATCCACTGAGACAGCTGAGATTGAAGGTTGCTAGGGCTGGGGAGAAGGAGAACAGGGAGGGGGAAGATGAAAATGTTTTGAAACTTGATAAAGGGTGGTGATGACTACATAGCACTGTGAATGCATTAAACATTGCTGACTTATTCACTTTTAAATAGTTAACTTTAAGTGGCTACCTCAATAAAAAAAATATATACTGTCATCCTTTGGTATCTGTGGAAGATTGGTTCCAGGATCCCCAAGGATGCCAAAATCCAGATGCTCAGGTCCCTGATACAAAATGGTGTCATATTTGCAGATAACCTACACACATCTTCCTGCATACTTTAAATCATTTCTAGATTACTTATAATTCCTAATACAATGAATATAAATACTATATAATTAGCTGTCATACTATATTGTACATAGTATAAAGACAAGAAAAAAAAAGCCTGTAATATCCAGCCATGGATGAGGAATTTACGGACACAAAGGCCACCTGTATATGCATATGCATGTATGTATGTGGGCACGTATTGAGACACTGGATATTTACAGTTTCAAAGTATCACCCCAGCTGGATGCAGTGGTTCATGCCTGTAATCACTCTGGGAGGCCAAAGTGGGAGGATTGTTTGAACCCAGGAGTTTGAAAACAACCTAAGCAACAAAGCGAGATGTCACCTCTACAAAAAAAAAAAATCAAAAAATTATCTGGGCGTGGTGGTATGCACTTGTAGCCCCAGCTATCCAGGAGGCTAAGGAAGAAGGACTGCCTGAGCCCAGGAGGTCAAGGTTGTGGTAAGCCGTGATAGAGCCACTACACTCCAGCCTGAGTGAGACAGAGACCCCCAACTCAAAAAAAAAAGCAACACTCCAGAGACTACTTTTGTCAGTTAAATGGGAGAAGTTCCTTTCTCCAAGAGGTAACTCTGACTCCACCTTAACCAAATGTATCCCAATGGAGCAAGTTGGGTCCAGGAGAGGACGTAGCACCTGCGGAGCACTCCTACTCAAGCAAGACTAAATCTGCTCCCAAGGAGCACTCAGGCAAGTCCAAATTGAAGGACTTCTGCAAAACGACTGATCCAATCTCTTCAAAAATATCAACGCAACGATAGACAAACACAGGTTAGGAATTCCAGATGAAATGAACCTAAACACATACATGAAAATAAATACAATGCAGGATCCTGGATTGAATCCTATATGCACATTTCCTTAAAGTCATAAGAATATTATGGGGACAATTGCAGTATTTAGATATGGATAATATGTTTATTAGATATTACTACTTATAAAATTAAACACTGAGTGTAATAACTGTGTTGTGGATATACAGGAGAATGTCTCAGCTCTTAGGGGTAAACTATCATGTCTACAACCAACTCTTGAGATGATTCAGAAAAAAGAAGTTATACAGAGACATAAAATAAATTGGCAAAAATCTTACAATGGATGAATCTAGATAAATGTATATAATATTCATTTTTAGTATCCTTGCTATTTGTCATGGGTTTCTTGTTTTTAAAATAAATTAAGAAAACACAACTATTAAACTGAATATATACTCTAGCCCAACCATTCTATGCTTAGGCTTACATGCCACAAAAGGCACATAAAAGGGTGTTCATGGCATTATTATTTGTAACAGTTCAACACCAAAAAAAAAAAAAAAATCTGTGGTCCAGTTATTCAACAGAATACCGCACATCGAAAAGGTACTTGTATACTCAGCAGCATGGATGACTCTCACAAGTACAATACTGAGTAGAAGGAGCTAGACACAAACAAGCACATATTGTACTATACGCTCCCATTATACAAAGTACAAAAACAGGCAAGTGTATTGACAGTTATGCAAGTCTGGATGGAATACAGAGGCCGGGAAGAGATACAAGAGGTTTTTGGTGCACTGGGTGCTGCCCTCTGTCCTCTGTGCAGCAGTGACTCAAATGTGTTCACTCTGAAGTCATCTTTCAGAGAAAGGTACACACTTTCTTTAAGAGGAAGGATAAGAAACATAGTACGGAAAAAAAAATACACAGAAGTAATCTATATGGGTATACTAAAAGATATAAATGAAATGCTATGACAATTAAAAGTTCTCCAATATTAAAGAGGACTGGAAATCAGAGAAGTCTATATACAATAGGCAAAATATGATCAAAGAACTCAAAATTATACAGAATTCTATGGAACAGAATTCTTTCTTATAAGGATAAAATCTCAACTAATGTAAAATAAAGAGAAATTCTTAAGAGAAAAGAAGAAAAAAATACTTATTAATGATCTAAGTTATTCCTTTGTGGGTGACAGTGTTAACATATGTACAGATTTGGACAATGAGACCTCAGATGCTCCACTGCATGTTGTCTGCCAGTAACCAGTAAAGACACTTTACTGGGCTGATGACTCCAACACAGCTAAGCTTCTTTCTATTATTCAAGCAGCCAATCAACAAGGCAACTGGTACTAAATACAGAAAACAGAAGGCTGTCTTCAACATATTCATAAAATCTTAACTTTACCATCTAACAATGTTTTGGTCAATAGTGGACCACATATAAGGTTATATAATACCATATTTTTACTGTGCCTTTTCTATGTTTAGATGTACACTTACTATTTTGTTACAATGGCCTACAGCACTCAGTACAGTAACATGCTGTTCAAGTGTATAGCCCCAGAGCAGCAGGCTAAACCACGTAGGTTAGGTGAGCAGTAGGATATGTCATCTAGCTCTGTGTAAGTACACTCTATAATGTTTGTATAATGATGAAATTGCCCAATGTACATTTCTCAGAATATATTCCCAACATTAAGCAACATATGTATATTTCTTTCTAATCAGCACTGTTTAGCAGCATGTCCTACGAGGTTAGAAAGTTCTACATCTGCACTGTCCATTACAGTAGCCACTAGCCACATGTAGCTACTGAGCTCTTGAAATCTGGCTAATGTTTACAAAAAACTGAATTTAAAATTTTATATATAAATGACTTAAACAGTACAGGTGGGCAATGACTAGTGTATAGCACAGTTCTAAATTCTAAAATGATCATTACTAAATTATAGAAAAAGTTCTTTTAATGATTGTCTCCCTGAGTATATTTATTACAGTAGCTAAAGCTATCTACAGAAACGCGAGCAGCTAGAATTAACCTTAGACATCATAAGACATATAACATTTGTAGGTTTGAAACCAAAACTCAAAATACGTAAACAAATCCATAAAACTTGTGAATGTTACCTAAACTGGAAAACATTAAACTAAGGGTCTTGAGATGAGAATGC